TGGAGGCAGAGCTGATCTGGTTCTAAGCAACATCCCCTCATTTCATACAGCAGATGTGAGCTCTCGGTTTTCAGAAGGCTTCTTGTAGAATACACTCATCAGTAAGCCACACACACACACACACACACACACACACACACACACTGAACGGGTGTGTAGCCAGCAGGACAGTGCAGCTTCCGGAAGCCACACACACACACACACACACACACACACATTGAACGGGTGTGTAGCCAGCAGGACAGTGCAGCTTCCGGTGCGCCATCCCTAGCCTGGGAGAGACACACTGCTGGCCCTGGGCAGCAACGGAATCTCGCTTCATCTTGATCACTGACACTGGGCCTTTATTTTCCATGAGAAGGCACAGTTACCTGTGTAAGGAGCCCCCCTCTCACCAGCTTAAAGGAGCATAAAGTGGAGAGAGGACAAAAAAGAGACAGAGATGGGCCTCCAGCACTTACGCTGTGTTTACTGGGCACCTACTCTATGCCAGACACTGATCTACACTGGCTGCATTGGCAGGGACAACCAAAACCTAATGATTCCCGCCCTCACTGGAGATTCCCCCGCCCGCAGGGGATGGCAAGCAAGGCAGTGGACACTGGGAAATCAGTCCACTGGCTGGTGCTGCACAGGTGACGTGTGCTGTGAGATAAAGGCTTGGAGCAGGGAGGGTGGGGCGTGGGCAAAGGGTGGCCATCAAGCAGGTGGCAGCAATCAGATGTGCTGGGACTATCTCCAGAGGGGCCTGAGGGATGAGGGCAGTGGGCAGAGGACTCACAGACCCTGGTACTAGCAGCAGGGACAGAAAAGAGGACAATCTCAGAAGGGCAGTGCTGGGCAGAGACGGTGCCCTGTGAGCATCAAGGCGGCAGGGGCCAGGAGGAGGAGCGGGGCAGCAGCGGGCGGAGCAAAGCTCAGCTTCTGCACATGTCCTGAAGGTAGGGCCGAGGCACACGGCTGAAGGAAGAGATTCAGGGAAGAGACAGACATGAGACCTGGCCAAGGAGACACAGGGCACCCTACAACCTCAGACCTGAGACACCTGCACACTGCCCAGGCGCAGGGCAGCAGGAGGAGAGGGGTCAGGAGGTGCTGGCAGATCCCAAGCCACACTCATTACTGTGGCGGCCACAGTACCGAGGCACCAGTGACCCAGGCGTTCAGCACACCAGGAGATGGCTACAAAACCACAGGCCCATCAGAAAGGACACCAGAGGCGAGCCGGGGCACAAAGCTCGGTGCAAGAAAAAGGACTGTGCCTAAGAGGGGAACTACTTGGACTTCAAAAGCCAGCTGAAGTACTGTGTGTGGGGTGCTCTATCCCCTTCTTGCACTGCCCTTGATTTCCACCCCATGAGGGGACCACAGAGCACTCCTCTCTGTTCTGACAGGCGCAGGAGGTCAGACACACAGGCCACCACCAGAAGCTGTGAAGTCACTCTTTTGTAAAGCAGAGGAAGGGGAACAAACACTTGGCCTCTCAGGACCTTTTAGGGTCATGGGGTGAGGGCCTCAGGAGGTAGAATCTGGGACCTGGGGTAATATTTACCCAAAATATAAAAACACCAATGTTGTACCAATGTTGTAATGTACCAAATGTACCAATGTTGTAATTAACGGCACAGTGTCAGCATCTGGCAGAAAGCACAAAGTCCCTGCTATGCTCATGGAGAAGGAAGGAGGGGAAGCTACCCCCGCCCCCTCTGCCCCGGGCAACCACACAAATTAAAAACTGCATTCTTTGTTCAAAAAGAAACACAAAATGCTTCACACATCTGTTTTTAAAATTTAAAACTGAAAACATTCTATCAACACTCCTCTGCCTCTGCTACTGCCATTTGCATCTCAGTGGCTGGAAGGACGTCCCCTGCCTCTGCTCTAGAAGCCCCTGGGAGCCCTGTCAAGCTATCCCCACGTGTGCCCTGTGCACTACAGTGAGACCAGCTCTGTCCTCTAGCGGCTGCAGAGGCTGTGCAGCCAGCCCACCACGGCCAGGCGAAGCTGGGTGCTATTCTGCTCCGCGACTCACAGCCCCACTTCCCCACAGGGCTGGGTATGTGTTCACTGCACATAGTACTGCTCCAGGTCATCTGGCAATGGCTGAGAACCAGCGTCCCTGTACTGGTCTCAAACTGCACTAGGTGGGGGGCTGCAAAAATCTGTATGTGAAAGATGATCAAAAAACATTTTAAAAATTTATTACAGGGCTGGAGATTTAGCTCAGCAGCACAAGCACCTGCTTGGCAAGTGCAAGGTCGTGAGTTTGATTCCTGGCACCAAAAATAAGTAAATAAATAATGAAAAGTTTATTATGGCAAAAAAGATAAGTGGCCATTAATCCTCCTCACTTCAAACACACTTATCCTATCATTCTTGCCACTTTCTGAAGCAGCTTTGGAAGTGCTCTTTCACATCTATGAGAGTCCTGACCAAAAATATGGTGAGAGCCACAGGCAGGCAGGTAAAAATATGACTCTGCGTCCTTGTGCTCCTTACTCACTAGATCTGGCATCCTGAGACTGCTGGCTCTTCCCCAAAGTCAAAATGACCATGAAAGGTAAACGTTTTGCATCCGTTCAGGACATCAAGGCCACCTTGACAGTGCAATTGAAGAAACTCACAAAAGAGGAGCTGCAGAGGGGGCTGGAGATTTAGCTCAGCGACATAAGCACCTGCCTTGCAAGCAGGCAGTCGTGAGTTCGAGCCCTGGTACCGATAAAAAGGGAAAAGACCAAAAAAAAAAAAGAGGAGCTGCAGAACTGCTCCAGAAAGTTGGGGAAACAATATGGTAAACATGTTCAAAACAAGGCCAGGCCTTAGAGACAGAGTAACAACAATGTTATCTTTTACTATAGTATATCTTAAATTTAAGGGTCCCACCGTAGTTGCTCCCTGATGGCATTTTTGTTTTGTTTTGTTTTTTTTAAGGTTTCTTTTTCTTTTTTTACTTTTTGGTACTGGGGATTGAGTTCACAACCTCGAGCTTGCCAGCAGCCGCTTATGCCACCAAGCTAAATCCCTGGCACTGTTTCACGTGTTTTGAAATTTTGTTGTCTTTTTTTTCTTCTTTGAAATAAAATAATTTTTAAAAAATAAAGAAATTTAAATGCCCATCACACGTTTCAAACACATCTCATACTTATGAAATAAAAGTGACTGGGTTGTACACTTAGAAGAATTTTAAAGTATGCAAATGATACGTCAATGAAATTGTTATTAAAATTAAGCATCCATAGATATGCAGCTGCCTATGGTTCAACCAACACTAGACTGGCAATGTGTGATACTGATAGAAGCCCAGGCTTTCAATCAGCTACTCTGTCACAGGTCAAGTGACCAGGGGTTTCTCACCGAAGCCCTGGGAGCCTCTACTCATAAATATATCCCTGATCTACAAATAAATGGCACAGCCACATCCCAGAAGCACACGGTCATTTCGTGTATGCATGTGTGAGTGCACGTTTAGTTTTGTGGGGCATAAACCCAGGGCCTTGTGCATGGCAGGCATGAGCAACTGGCCCTGGTTCTATGTTTGGACCCATATCCAGTGCCTTATGCCTGACAGGCTACCTAACAGATCCACAATGAGCCTCCAGTCTCCAGAGCAAAAGAGATCTACGCTCTCGTCTCCAACTTTGCCAGGTGTTGCCTTCATCTCCCCCACAGACATCAGCCCCCAAATAAACCAGGAAGGTAGCACAGTTGCTGGGCTGCAGTTACACACAAGTCCCCAGGATGGGGCTGGGATGGGCTGCATCTGGCATCCTCCGCCTTTCTCTGGAGGGACCTTGAAATAAAGTCAGCAAATTCATGACCTGAAGGCACAGCTGGGGGTGTGGAGGATACACACTCAAGAATGAGAGGTCGCTCACTGCACACAGGGCAAGGACACAGTGCCAGGCAGTGAGTGCTGAGGGGCCAGCAGGAGGCCAAGGGCATCTCTTTCTTGGGCTCGCACAAAGAGAAAGCAGACCATGACAGGCTGGAATCTAGAAAGAGCACCCTGCACAAGGAAGCTCCTGCTGGGACTCCCTGGATGTAGCCCCAAGAAAGAAGTGATCCTTACAAGTCCTGTTCTTGGCTGGTCACTCGGTATACTTTTTCTCCCTCTCAAGGCAACTTGGCTACTGCAATGGTCACAGAGAGAAAAAAGACAGCCGGACAAGGATGAAGAGACGCCAATAAGAGGAAGCTTCAGTCCCTTCCCCAAAACCCTGAATCATTTAGGATCCCTGGTCTCTTCCATCCTGCAGGTGTGGATTTTGTCTTCCTTGACATCTCACCCAGACCCAGGGTTCCAAAATACTAACGAGGTCTCACCTGGAACGAAGAGAGACCCTGCCAGGGCCTAAGCGTGTATGTTGTGAGCCATGGGTACCCAGGGAAGGGAGCCAACGTGCCACCCCCTTTCATTCACTGAGTTACCTGGCAGGTACAAACTACACTCTGACTTTCTGGAAGATTGCAGGACACTGAACATTAGACACCAAGAGGACTTAAGAGCCCTTGCCCGCCAGGAGCTCTGAGTCCAGCAGAAATAAGAGAAACAAATGACCCCATTGTACCGAGCTCCATCCTGGTATACAAGAAAAGTATCTTGAGATCCCCAGGATGGCACTGATTTCCTTCCTAAGGAGCTGCACTCCACCACTGCAGATTTTGATCCATATTTACTGAGGTGCGGAGACCCCGGAGAGGCCGCCATGTGCCTCAGACACCCAAACCCAGACCTGCCTTCTAGGCAAGGGATGACGCAGTGGCTTCCTCTACCTCTGCACGGGCACCTGATGGGCTGGGACAGATTCATTCTTCAGGAATAAACGTGCTTTTGGCTGAATGCCTCAGGGCAATAAACCCGCTCTTTAAATCTCACCAAAACTATCACGTGTTTTCCCTGTGTGGCTCCCAGCTGGCAGCCACAGCTCAGTGGCTAACAGCTGTCCAAAGCCGATGGCACTGCCCGGGCACTACAGGGGGCCAGAGGGCCTTTCACTCACCAGACAGTGGGTCTTTGCCAATCATCAAAACATTGGGCAAATTCATTACGATCAGCTGCTGGAGGACTTCCTACAGAGACAAAGGGGGGAAATACCATTAAGAACAGGATCCAAAAATAAAGAACAATTAAGTAAATTACAGTCAGTCAAGGCGCCGGATGAGTGTGCAAGACTGACGGTAACTATGAAGACATCAGAAATAGGGAGGACTAAGAAGATATAAACATACATGGCAAACCAAGCACTAACCACACTTCTGCCTTGATCATTCTCAAATAACAATTGTGCCTGTGTATGTACAGAGACAAAAAAAAAGGGGGCAAATGACATTCCAAAGTATTTTTAAAAGATACTCTTAATTACTTTATTGTATGGCTTGTACAATTAGAATAGAGAATAAAACCTAAAGCTACTAAGCCTTTACTACCCTGTGACTCAGAATCCAAGTGCTAAGCTGGTCTCTGACACGAGTTCTAAATACGGAGACTTCTGCCACTGTTAGCAGTGGCTTCCCGGGAGAAGGGCACATCTGGGCCAGTAATGGAAAGGCCAAGAGGGTCCCCCATCATACCCTCGTTAGCATCTTTTTTGTTTTTGTTTCCATTTTGAGACTGGGCCTTGCTTAGTCACCAAGTTGCCTAGCTGGGCTTGAACTTAACAATCCTCCTGCCTCAGCCTCCCAGAGTGCTGGGGTTACAGGTATGCACTGTTGGGTCTCCGTGGTGGGCTGAGGAGCAACCTGAGACCTGTATACCTTCAGCCCATTTCTCACACCTCTCCTTCTTTGTCCAGATCTGTCTGTTTCACTTGTCACAAATCAGAAGATAAAAGTCCTATTTTGTAGAAGACCAAGAAAGGTGTAGATTTCATTATGCTTTAAAGGTGGTCCTGACAGAAATATTTTTTACCACGAAAGCTCCTTTTGAGTCTCTTAACAGAGTTTCCTTCAAGAGGCAGCTTTTCAGGAGTTGCCCAAAACACGCTACAGAAAATCTGTGTGTTCAGTGGGAGAATAAAAGGGGGTTACCACACACTGGCCGATCCCACTGAGCCCAGGAGAACAAAACATCTCAGAGCCACCTTGGAGCTGTGAACTGCAAGAGTCAGGGGCAGCCTGTGAGGACACACAGTGACTTTACCAGCCCCCTACTACTGCCTTCCACAGCTCCCACCCGTGCAGGAAGTTGCAGGAAGTCGGGGTGGGGAGAAGATGCTGCACCAAAAGGCGCACCCACTCCTGAGCACACAGCCCCACTACACGAGGCCGAGACTGCGCCTCTCCAGCACCAGGGTCACAGCACTGCCTCAGCTACCACTTACACACACTTGCCGAGGGCCAAGTCCCAACTGCAGCAGGGAGGTTCAAGCTGTGTGACAGTCTCAGTGGTCCCTCAAGCTCTGAGAAGTCAACGTAAAAACTGTCTCCTAGTCACCAAAGCATTGCACGTCCCCAAATCCTCCACCCGGCTGGCAGAACACACCCCATGCCTCCCTGCTAACTCAAGCAGGGTAAAGTGTCCCTGCTTGAATTAGCACCATTCTGTCACATAGCGCCCTTTTCTGCCTCGAGGATGGTCCAGGCCCTGGGCCACCCTGGGAGGCCCAGGCTACCTTTGCTGACCATCAGCAGCCTCTCTCCAAATCCCAGCTGCTGGTCTTCTGCCACTGGCCAAATCTCTAATACCCAGCCCTCTATCAGGGCATAAATGAGACATTATATGGGCAGTCAGCTTTTGCGTGTGTATACTTGAAATAATTGTTTTATTTTGTTTTGTTTTTCTGAGGCAAGGTCTCACAATGTAGTGCAGGCTGGTCTTGAACTCACTTAACATAGCCTTGAATTTGTAGTGATCCTCCTGCCTCAGCCCCCAAGTGGTGGGATTACAGGTGTACACCAACCACCCCATCCAGCTGAAATAATCTTTAAATTCTGTCCAAAGTGATTATTTTATGACAATATTAATCTAAACAAAATATCACTAGAAAGTATTGTAGAAAAATCTATGTAAGCTTCTTCCAAATTGAAAGTTTAATTTCCTTTAGTCAGTACTTTCTAATTTTTCCAGAAGAAACATGTCATCTGTGTAATTAGGAAATGTTTCATGAGTAGACTTTTTAACTTTTCTTCCTTTCAAAATACCATAGGTCAGGGGCTGGGGATTTAGCTCAGCAGCACAAGCACCTGCCTTGCAAGCAGGTGGTCATAAGTTCGATCCCCAGTACCGAGAAAAAGAAGAAGAAAAAAAAAAAAAAAAATACCATAGGTCTCCCAAGACCTAGTTCTATAGCCAAAAAATGTCCCAAGTCATTAACTGGCTCCCGTAAAGGAACATCAATGACAACCCCCACAAAAGCAGGCTCTGGGGCCAGTGCTATGAGTAACTGCAGACATATTAATGTCAAACTTTTCTTAAAAGCATTAAATGAAGCAAGAGAAAATATTCTAGCGATATACTTTAATGAAGGGGCTATATTTAAAATACTTATTTCAACACATGACACAAAAAATTTTACTCAGGTATTTCACACTCTTTTTCATACTGTCTCTAAAACCCAGTATGTATTTTATACTTACAGCACATCCCAATGTGGATAAATTTCCACCGGAAATACTTAAAACTATAAATAGATTTCATGAAATTTACAATTGAAAAAGGAGAGTCCAACCAGGTATGATGGAGCATTCTTGAATCTTAGCTATTGGGAGGCAGAGGCAGGCGGACTGCAATTTCAAGGCCAGTCTGGACAACTCAACAAGACTGGTTCAAAATAAAATTGAAGAGAGCAGAGCTGGAGATGCAGCTCGGTAGTATAGTAGCAACTACCTACCATGCATGAAGCCTGGACTTAATCCCCTGTATAGAAAAGAAAAAAAATTTTCCCATCCCCAAGTTGTTCTAAATACACTTAAAATTACTTTTCTGTATCTGCATTACCAATTTTTAAATTAAAATTAACTAAAATAAGTCTATTTCTTCAGACACACAAGCCATTGAGGCCCTGTCTGCTGCATGTGGCCAGAGGCTGCACATTAGCAATGACAAGGACTTGGTGGCCTGTGAGTTCGCTACACCCCTGTCCACCCTGTAGAAAACCCCACAACAAGCCCGAGGCTGCTGCAATGGTGGGGCCGCAGGGCAACAGGCCAGGGCCTCAGTCCAGCTGGTACGTGAGGAGGGTGTTGATGAGAGGACCCTCCTTCCCTGATGCCAGCGCCTGGAACAGAGAGCCACTGTGGGGGCCAAGCTCCGGCACCTGGACCCACCCTGGCCGGCTGCTGCAAGGCTCGGGATCCAGTGACACTGGAGAGTGGCCCAACATGGTACTGTCAGATATGCTCGAAGGGCAGGGCTGGTGGCAGCCTCAGGCTTGGGGTGAAGACCTCCCCAGTAATTCCTGCAGAGCTTGAAGTGGGGGTGGAGATGCAAATGTAGCCCTGGAAGGGTGGATTCTACACTCCTTTATTCCTTCCTTTCTTCCCTTTTAGGCAGGGTTACTTTCAGAGTCTCCCATAAGGCTCTGGGGACATCCCAGATTTTGCTTTTCACAAAGAAAGCAGACTAACTGTATCCTGGAGCGGCCCATTGACAGTTAATTGCTTTTAACAAACCTCCAAAAGCAAAACAAAAGCAGGCCAGCGGAGAGTGTGTCGGGATCCTGCAAAGGCAGCTGAGGCGCAGGGCTGGAGAAGCATTTTCTGTTGGGGGATGACCTGGCCTGACACTCAGATTTCAGATCCAAAAATCTAAGATCTCGTCAATAATCCAGGGCCAAGTTGATAAAGCAAAACACATGGGGAGGGGAGTGGCTAGGACTCTTCCAAAAAGCATCTGTCACCCCATCTGGTGGTGGGTCCCAGGGGCAGCATCTGTGTTGGCACCTGGAGTCAAAAGGCCCGGTGAGCTGCCCTCCCTCGGATGCCAGGCTTCCTGACCTTGACCTACAGGAGGGTGCACTGGGCAGTGTGGCACCGCCTTGCTCTCAAGGCCTGTAGGTAGCACCAGCTCTCAGGAGTCATCAGCAATTATGTAAGAGTTCTGAGAACAAAGCAAAGGGCAAGCTCAAAGCTGGTAGCCCGTGCCTGTAATCCCAGCTACTTGGGAGGCTGAGACAGGAAGACTGCAAATTTGAGGCCAGCCAGAGCAAGTAAGACAGAGACTGTCTTGAAATAAAATAAAAGGGCTGGAGTGTAGCAGTGCAGCTCAGTGCTAAAGTGCTTGCATGAGATCCTAGTCCATCTCCCAATACTGCAAACAAACGAAGGCAAATCAAGTGGGTGCACGCACAGTTATACAACTAAATGTATGTTTAATAGAGGAAAAAAAATCTCAAAGTTGATAGGCCAGAATGTTCTTCATCAGAATGACTGGGAATAAGGGCCAGAGATATAGCTCAGCTGAACAGCGCCTGCCTGGTAAGCAGGAGGCTGTGGATTTAATCCTGGGTTACCCCCTTCCCACCCAAAAAGACTGGGACTAGACCAAGTTTTCCCAGCATTTTCTAGAGTCTGTAATACATTCTGTCACCTGAAACTACAAAGTCTTCTATGCCATGGTTTCCCATACAAAGAACTGCAGTCAGGGAGATGTCTATTTACTAGGCACGTCAACTATTAACAGTACAGGCTTGCTATGAGAAAAAGCATCCATCATTTCCTGCACAACTCACCCGCATCCAAAATAATAAATGAGACAGATTTCCATTTTTAAACACTATCCTCCCAAAACAAACAGCACCTCCAGTGCATCCATCAGGAAACACAAAGCCTGGATGAGCTGGGAGAGCAGAGGCTGGCCAGGAGAACCCAGGGGTCCCATGAAGAGGGCCAGGCAAAGGCCCAGGGGAGGAGGGGGAGGACCACCCACTGCAGGAGGCAAAGTAGGGGCCTCAAGGAAAGAAAAGCCTTCATCCAACTGTGCCGTGCAAAACAAGGGCTGTTCTCTCTGCAGGTGGGAGAAATGTAGGGTCCTAGAAAAGATCTGAGGTAAAAAGATTTTATGCATGTACAGCAGAGGTTAGCTTTGATTTCCACTGGATACAGGGACTGCCTCGTCCAGAAAGATGATTTCA